TCTGCGCGACCTGCGGCTGCGGGGAGTGCTCAGGTGGGAGGGAGCCCGAGAACGCGGGCGCCGAGGGGCGCCGCGGCGCGTCCCCCCCCTACCCGCGCTAGACCGAAAATCTCCAGAGGGCGGAGACCGTGCCTTTCTCCGCCCCGGGAGGAGCCGCTGCGCCTGGAGTCCATTTCTCTTTCGAGCTGTAGTCGTGGGCATGTTTCCCGGCTCGGCTCCACTATTCTTTCTCCAAAGTCAGCGTAGTCGTTTGATCACCTGCCTGAACGCCTTGTCAGATTCCGGAATTCCGTGTTATTGATGGAATCAATTCGTGGGCACGGGCCTAGGAATCCCCGTTTTAGTAGTCTCCCCCACGTGATTATGACACACACCAACTTTTGAGAATGGTTGTGTATTCTTCTCTTTAACAAATACTGTATCTGCGAGCCTGTTGGGTGCCAGGTATTCTTCTTGGCAATAGGCAAATTGCGTAATTGTTTATAATTTTTGCAAACTTTTTATCATTCGCTTATCTATACTTTTCTTCCAAGATAGGGAATCCCAGGCATAGATCCTATAACATAGGCACCGGTAGAGACACAGTAATGGACAAAACTAACAAAAATCCCTGCCTCCATGGAGCTTGTGTGCTAGTGGCAGAGACAGAAGACAAAGGAGATAAATGAATAAAATTCAAGTATGTTAGGCACAACTGCTGAAGAGAAAAAAAAAAATCAGGAAAGGGAGAAAAGTGTGTGTAGAGGAGGCCTATGAAATTTTAGGTAGGGTGACCAAGGAACGCCTTACTGACAATTATTCAGTCGATGTTTGGTCAATGAATGCTGACCTAGCGAGCGTAACTGATTGCCAGAACCTCCCTTGGGTGTTTTTGGGGGAAGCTGCAGCAGTATAGTCGGGAGATAGAACTACTACTGGAAAAATGCTGAACGATGTGACAGTTTTGTAGCCAGGAAAAGGAATAGTCTACTGAGGTGGGATTTGCTGGGCTTTGAAGGATCTTAAGCCGGTAATGGAGCAAGTAGAAATCACTTGGACATTTCTATCATGTGGTTTTGGGAAAGCTCAAGCTCACTTCAAGAGCTCTTCTATGATTTATTTCTAGATTTGGTAATATGGTATAAAGTTTCTTAAGAACGGCTAAGAAAAAGGGAGAAGAGCTATATCGAAGAATATGAGATAGGAATTAGGATGTTTAATTACTTTGTCTTTGACTCTAGTCTGCCTCTCTTCCTGTAGTTTCTGTAGTTCTGTCATTTCTCCTGTTCCTTTCTACACCTGTCAACTTACCTTTTGTTCTTGTCTTGCTTGGTCTTTTCTTTTCAACATGTTAAATTTCTCTCCTTGACTGTTCCATCTTGCCTCACCTGTACAGCCTGCAGTGCCATTCTCTGGTCTCCTCATTTTCTGCTGCTTTCTCCAGCGTTTGCTGTGGTAGCATTCCATCCCATTGTTTTGTCAGAGAGCCGTAAAAACACAGCATTCTGTAAGTCATTTAACTACAAGATGTGTGTGTCTGCTGTGGTGGGATAGGAAAAATTCCATGCTTGAGGGTGTTTTGTCTTTTATAGGTTCAGGTAAATGAAGACTCAGATGACTCAGAAGTGGAGAAAGAAGCAAAAGATAATTTTCCACCTCAAAAGAAACCAGTTTGGGTGGATGAAGAAGATGAAGATGAGGAAATGTAAGTGCCTAACTTTTTTCACAATCCCGTAGGATACCTTATTTTTCAGGTTTTAAAATCATTCTCTTTATAAATATGTGATTATGAGAGGATTTGAAAAAATATTTCAAGGTGTAGGACAGAAAAGGTTGTTCATAATCCCACCCCTGAAGGGGACCCACTGTTAACATGGTGCTACACTTCTGTCCCTGTCCCCTCCCTTCTTAGTTGTGTGGAATAGCCCGGAGCGTGCCTCCTAATTTGGCCAGTTCCTGATGGACCATGGGCAGGTTTGGAACTTAACTTTTTTTGTTTGTAAGATGGGCATAATAATAGTCGCTATATCAAAGGCTTTTGGGATTGAATGAAATAGTGCATGTGGAAATTTTAGCACAGTGCCTGAAACTGAGTAAAGGCTAAAAAAAGCTAGTACACACAGTTTGTACTTTCACAGATGAGAACATGCTGTATACATAACATTGTTACTTTTTCTGCATAAAGTTTTATTCAATTGTTTCTCCCCACTTTAACAAAACCCTTTGTAAACATTTTAAAATGCGTTGTATCTGATTGTATGAGTTAACCATAATTTACATAGTTATTGTTGGATAGATTTTATTTTTCCCTTAAATAAATTAATGCTGAGTTAAACATTTTTATAAATAAACTTTTTTTTTTTTTTTTGCTTTTCTAATTATTTTAAGATTCTTTGAGGTAGAATTACTTGATTAAAGAATACAGATTTTTTAAGGCTCTTGGTAAATACTGCCAGGCTGTAGACCCTGAGGTTCTACCAATTTATTTTCCCATTAAAAAGTGTCCATTTCAATCCATTCTTAGAAGCAATGATTTTTTTCCCCCCAGCCTTTGTCAGTTTGATGGTGGGGATATATTTCTGCTTAATTTGTGTTGAGAAAACATTTTTGTTGTTAGTCTCTGACATTTCTTGTAAGTTTTCTCTATTATGTCTTTGCTTATTTGTCTGTTGGAGACTTTTAGTAATCTTAGTTGTATTAGTCAGGGTTTTCCAGAGAGAGAGAATCAATAGGATATGTTATAATTATATGAGAGGAATTTATTAGGGGAATTAGCTCACATGTCTATGAAGAAAAGTCCCATGATAGGCTGTCTATAAACGGGATGCCGGTAGCGTGGCTCAGTCCAAGTCCAAAGGCCTCAAAACGAGGGAAGCTGATGGTGTCCTTGGTGTAAGTCCTGGAACCCAAAAGTTGAAGAGTCTCAAGCTCAGATGTCCACGGTCAGGAGAGAAGAGTGTATCCCAGCTTCAGCGGATTGAGAGAGAGCTTCACCTCTTTCCTCTATCTTTTGTTTTCTCCAGACCCCCCCAGATTGGATGGTTCCCACCCACATTGAGGGTGGGTCTTTCCCACCCAGGCCACTCAGACTCTCATATTAATCTCTGCTGGAAAGACCCTCATGGACACACCTAAGAAGATAGCTTTACTAGATTTCTCAGCATTCCTTCGTCTAACCAAGTTGACGTCTAGAATTAACCTTCATGCTAGTTTATCAATTCCTTACATATTGAGAACTTTAAACCTTTATATGTCAGTTTTATTGCAGGTTTTCCCCCAGCTTTCTGTGCACAGAAGTTTAAAATTTTTATATAGTAAAATCTGAATTTTTTCCTTCATTATTTTTACTGTTGTTTTAAAAAAGCTTCTATATCAGAGAGAAATATTAGCCTATTTTTTCCTTCATAGTATTTTTAGGTTTGCTTTTTATATTTAATGCTTTGATTTACCTGGGATTTATTTTGGAGAGTGGCATAAGCTGTGTCTAGATATATCATGATGAATTTTCTGAAATATTAGCTCTCCAAAGGGTAAACTAGATGGTGTGAAATATCAGAGACTCCTTTTTGTTTTAGGAAGAAGAGATAATATGTGTATGAGATGTTCCACATCTTACAAATCTTCACCTACATTGTTTCATTAAATGTTTCCTTAAAATACTAAAGGAAACAGCTATTTACGTTGATTCTTAAAAGTCATTTAAAATATGCTGTTCTATTTTTTATAGGGTTGACATGATGAACAATCGGTTTCGGAAAGATATGATAAGAAATGCTGGTGAAAGTAAACTTTCAAAAGACAAGCTTCAAAAGAGGCTTAAAGAAGAGTAAGTGTCCTTTTTCATGTAATGTATTAAGAGGTATAAATAACAGTTTATTTTGGTTTTGCTCAGTTTTTAGTTGTAACAGTTTCTTAGGTAGTCACATTTCATTAATCAGTTACTCCCCATTTCCTCCTACCAAATCTGATTATTTCTTCATTTTGTTATTTGACTTGTTTTTCTGTCATCTGTATTTCCTGTAAAGATGGTGTATTAGTCCGTTTGTGTTGCTATAACAGAATTAGCTGAGACTGGGTAATTTATAAAGAATAGAGGTTTATTTGGGTCATGATTCTGAGACAACTGCAACTGGCATGGGCCTCGGGCTGCTTCTACTCATGGCAGAAAGTGGCAGGTACAAGCAGATTACATGGCGAGAGGAAGCAAGAGAGAGAGAGCGGAGGTGCCGGGGTCTTTTTAAACAACCAGCTCTCACAGGAACTAATAGAGCAAGAACTCACTCATTAATCCCCCATCCCCCAAGGAGAGCATTAATCCGTTTATGAGGGATCGGCCCCCATGACTCAATCAGTTTCCAGCACTCTCACACTGGGGATCAAATTTCCACATGAGTTTTGGAGGGGACAACACATCCAAACTCCATCAGATGGACTTAAAAGCTTGATTATAATCAGATTAAATATTTTTGTTGGGAATATGTTAAGATGACGTGTATTTATTGCATCAGATCTAGGAAGCCATAGTGTAGGATTCCCAACTATTAGTGATGTAAAGTGTGACCACTTAGGGCTGTGGACCACCAGATATCTCTGCTTTAAAGTTCTACCCTCCCCTTTGCAATAATCTATGTGTGGTACTTAGGCAGTGTTTGAATAACCTGTTCCCCCAAGCTCCCACCTAATAAGCATTCATTGATAATCATTGCCTGGACTAATCATTACATTAGAGGTTGCGAAATGGTGTTTTTTTCTGTTTCTGCCATTGTTGTTGAAATCCCCATACATAGATGATTGTGGAAGCCTGTTGATCGTAAGAAGTTGGTTTTATTAAATTCGCTGGAGAATAAATAGAAAGCATCATCATGACATCACCATTTTGACAGAATCTCAGTGTCTACAGAGGAATTAGGGAAGGATATTTATGGGTTTGGGGGCTGGGGTTAGTCATAGGGGTAAATTCAGGGTGGAAGTTCATAGTTAATGGTCTTTGGCAGGGATTGGTCAGAATTTTTAAACAAGGCAAATTGCTGGAAAAGTTGTCTTTGGAAGTCTGTGCAGAGTTACTGCTACTGTGGTCTTGGAATATATGGGTTTGCATGAGATGGTTTTACACAACTTGAGCTTAGTGTATGTTACGTTGCCCATCATGTTTTGTTCAGTTTATCTGTTTTGCAGGTCACAGTACAGTTTATTTGTACATTGTAGTTTTTATTTTATTTCTCATTCTACGTTTATTGGTGGGCTTTTTTTTTTTTTAAGGAAGTTTTCTTTTTTCCCAGGATTTAACCAAAATTCTTTTGGATTTATGGGTTTGTCACCTCTCCCAGGGTGACAGAGACGCAAAGGATTACTCAAAGCTCATTTCTCCAGAGAGTGAGAGGCCCGAAAGGGTTAATTCCAGAACCTTCAAGAGAGAGGAATTCCTAGGAAAATAACCCCAAATCAGGTTTTCTCCCAGTTTTTATTCTCCAGGCAAGAAAAGTTACAGAAAAGGAACATAAGTAGTTACAAAAAGAACAATGAGATATCATTGTACTTTCCCATCATGAGGTTTAGCTGCACTGAGGACATCTGCCCTTAGAGCCAGCATTTTTGCTGTGTTACAATTTTTTATCTACAACAGAGACTTTAGTCCTGGGAAAGTTTTCTGTCTTTCCCAAGCTTAGTTGCTTTATTATTGTTGGTATCCTCCACATGGGTTATTTTTCAGTTTGTTATAGTCAATTAATCTTAAGTCTTTACTAAAATTGTCCATATTTAGCCTGCAAAATTGTCCAACTTTGAAATTGGCTCCTGTGTTTGTTTTTTCTAGCTTTCTGGCCTCACAAAGATGTCTCAAGCTCACTTTGACCTTTTTCTGCTCTGCATCAACATATTTTCCCAGGAACCCTGGTTTGTTCTAGTGGGAAATGATATCCAAGAGCAGGACACTAGGTGTGGTTATTGTTAAGAGGATATTATTACTTTTAGGCTTTTTAAGTTGAACAGAGCTAGGAAACGTATATATTTTAAAACAATGATTTCATAGTGATACTTCCAATCTTACAGATCTTTTAAAATATTTATACTTACAGATCTTTTAAAATATTTAAAAATATTTTTGTTTTTGTTTGTACTGATAACTTTTTTTTATATTCCTAGTGGTTTGTTGCATTACCATCATATTTTTAAAGCAGGTTTATTGAGGTATAATTTACACATAGTGAAATTCACTCTTTTTATGTGTCATTCTATGACTTTTTTTAAATACAGTCATCTGTATTTAACACCACTGCAATCAAAATAGGAAATTAAGATATACAACATTGCCATTACCCTCAAAAGTAATATACCCCTTGTAATCAACGCTTTCTCCTCAACTTCTAACCCCTGTAGCCCCTGACAACCACTGATCTGTTTTCTGTCCTTTTAGATTTGCCTTTTGCAGAATGTCATATAAATGAAATAATACAATATGTAGTCTTTTGAATATGTTGCACCCGTTTCACCCATTTAGTGAATTTATTATTCAGACATTGTATTTTTTCAGCTTTAGATGATCTTTTCAGCTTGAAACCTTTTTGTTTTGTTTAGTTTCTATTTCTCTTTTTATTATGTTCATACTTCCTTTATTTTATTTATTAAAAAAATTTTTTTTGGTGGCTAGCTGGTACGGGGATATCAAACCTTGGACCTCAGTGTTTATCAGCACCACACTCTAACCAACTCAGCTAACTGGCCAGCCCCATACTTCCTTTAAATACTTGAATATATTTGTTAGCTATTTTAAAGTTTCTGTGTGCTAATTCTGTCATTTCTGTCTGTTTTTGTTGACTGATTTCTCTTCTGGTTATGGCTATGTTTTTCTGCTTCTTTGCATGCCTAGTAGTTTTGACTGGATTCTAGGCAATGTGAATGTTGTTGAGTGTCTGGATTTTGTTTTTTGCTTTTTGTCTGGGCATGCAATTAATGGGCTTGCAGATCAATTTGATCCTTTTTTTTTTTTTTTTGATGGCTAGCTGGTACAGGGATCCAAACCCTTGACCTTGGTGTTACAAGATAATTTGATCCTTTCAAGACTTGTTTTTAAGCTTTGTTAGAGCAGGTCTGGAGTAGTAGTTACTCTAGCCTGATTTGGCCCACTGCTAAGGTATGACCTTTCTGGGATTTCTACCGAATGCCCTGAGTGTTCAATAGGACCTTCCTTCTGATTAGTTGGAACTTGAAAGGCTGAGCTTTAGTATTGTGTAACTTAACAGCTCTCTGGTAGTTCTTTGCCTGACTCATGGAGTCTCATCCAGTGAGTCTGAGGTTTAGTATTCAGCAGAATTGTCATCAGAGTCCTATGCAGATTTATGCAGCTCCTTCTCTTCCTCCTCTATGGTATACTGCCCCTCAAATCCCGATTATGTCAGCCTCTTTCAAGTCTGATCATTTTCTCAGCTCTGTGCCAGGGTTTTATAAATGTCTTCAGAGGAAAATACCTGGTGGCTGTAGGGTTCACCTTGTTTATTTGCCTTCTCTGAGGGAATACAGTGCTATGCTGTCTGTTGTCCAGTTTCTAAAAATAGTTGTTTCATATACATTTTGTGTAGTTTTCTAGTTGTTTTATGACTAGTGGGCTTAGTTTGGTGGGCTGGTCTGTACTTATGCATTAAAAAATCAGAATGACTCTTTGCCCTCTTCCTGATACCAGTTCCTTGAAACAACTGTCATGTTTCTCTTAAAGCTTACTTTTTCCAGAATGAAACACTCCTATTTTACTCAAATGATATATGATGAAATTTCTTTATTCTTACCAATCTGGTCATTTCTTTCGGACATGTTCTGTTGTGTATTCTGTGTACCATAGCATTGGTTTATAGTCACAAAGAGATTTCTTTACGTAGTCCTGACATCTAGGATGTGTTGATATAAGCAAATAAGCATCCATGTAACTAGATGTAAATAATTAATGACAAATATGTATCCAGGTCTCCTGTATCCACGACTAGTTTAGGTGGGCAGAGGTTCATGAAAGTTTCCAATATAGGCAGGTTGGGACTATTCTGTGTGAGTAAAGATAATAACTTGTGTTCTTTCTTTTTGGCTGCTGGCTGGTGGGGGGATCTGAACCCTTGACCTTGGTGTTGTAACACTGCCCTCTAACCACCTGAGCTAACCAGCCAGAACAACCTCTGTTCTTAAAGAGAGTAATTTTGGAAGATTCTTTACATACTCTAAAGGGTGACCTAACCAACACTTTTTAAATGTATCAAGCTTTATGAGCATACAGTGGTTATCATAAAAATTTTAAAAATATTTTTGCTTAGATTCCAGCATGCCATGGGAGGAGTACCTGCCTGGGCAGATACAGATAAGCGGAAAACATCTTCAGATGGTGAGTGTTGATATCTTTGTTTAAATTATTAAATAAGTCCCTATTCCTGTTATGTTATTATTTGAGATTTCTTTTGAGGCTCATTAAAACCTGGTGTTTTAAATACTTCTTTTTATTTTTTTAAATGTCTGGTTTTATTATCCATTTTAGATGCTGCATTTATAAAATCACAACATTTTAGATCCGTGTAATTGTAGATAAGGTCAGGCTAGCTGTTGAAACAGAAAACTTCTCAAATGCCAGTGACTTAATCCCATAGAAGCTGTTTTTTTCATGCACATGGAATTGGGGTGGTGAGGTGATGCTCTACTTTGGAGACCCAGGTTTATAGAGGTTCTGCATCTTCAGCCTGGTCTTCCAAAGTTGCCCAAGATGTTGACCTCCAGTTGGCTTATAGAGGAGGAGACATTTACCCAAAAAGAGGTTTTTACTGTCCTCTCCTGGAAATGGTACATGATACTTTCGTCTATATTTTATTGGTGAGAACTCAATCACGATGCCACACTGATGGAGACATTTACCCAAAAAGAGGTTTTTACTGTCCTCTCCTGGAAATGGTACATGATACTTTTGTCTATATTTTATTGGTGAGAACTCAATCACGATGCCACACTGACTGCACAGTATGGTAGGAAATATAGTTTGGCTTTATGCCCAGGAGAAGGAGGAAATGGATTAAGTCAACAGTTTGCCAGTCTGCTACCCTTCTGGATGTCCTAGTCTAGTACCTTCATTTTGTAGATAATGGAGGTTCAGAGAGAGAAAATGACTTGTCACAATTCACCATTGGCAGAATGGTGACTAGAACTCAGTTTCATAGTTACCTCTAATGTGTTATTTTTTTTTTTTTTGTCTTTTTTGTCTTTTTCCGTGTCCGGCAATGGATCGCAACCCTCAGTGTTGCCCCCATACCGGACCGGGGACCGACAACGGGATTGCAACCCTCGGCGCTGCTCCCGCGCCTCGCTCAGCCAGCGAGCGGGAACCGGTCTGTATGTGGGATCCGAACCCTCGGGCGGGAGCGCCGCCGCGCCTCCCAAGCGGCGCACTATCCAGTGCGCCACCGGGCCGGCCCCTAATGTGTTATTTTTTTATCTGCAAATACTTCATTGAATTTTTTAAAAAGAAATACTCCCTTTTAAACATACCCACAATATTAACATCACGTATCTCCAAAAACCAACAATAATTTGTTAATATTATGGATTGTTTTGTTGTTACTGCTGTTTTGTTAATTTATTCTCCTCCCCCCATTAGTTTTACTTGCTTTTTATTGTGCTTCATAGTGCTTTTGAATCTGGCTTGATGTCTTTTGTAAATTTTGAAAATTCTCACCTGTTGTCTCTTTAAATACTGTTTCTGTTCCAGTCTTCCTTTCTTTCCTTCTGGATACCAATTGTATGTATGTTAAGTGTTTTTAACTTATTCTATGTTCTTGTGTTCTTTTCTGTGTTTTCTTTTTGTACTTTAGTTTGTATATTTTTTCAGATCCATTTTCCAGACCTCTAACTCTCTTTTCAGCTAGTTTTGATATACTGTTAGAAACAGCCATTGGGGGCTTAATTTTAATTACATTATGTCTTTTCAGTTCTAGAATCCACCCCCCACCCCCACCTTTATTCTTTTTAATATCCTTGATCTGGCTCAATTCTCATTGTTCTTGAACATATCACATAGTGTCAAAGTTTGTGTCTGGTATCTTCATTATCTAGATCCTTGGTGGGGATTGTCTGGTTTTTTTGGTTTGGTTTTGGTTTTTAGTCAGATTATCAAATATCTCATCAATATTGGCCTGGTTATATTTCACTGAGTGCTGGATATTACATATGAAAAATAATATGGATTAATTAGATACAGAATGATGGTTTGTGTTTGTTTCTGGGTAGGTAGCTGGGCAGGGGGCACTAGCAATCCCAGAGCATCTTATTCTAATGAGGGATTGTAAAGATTGAAAGCAGGCTTTCGGTTCTTGGAAGTTTTTTTTTTTTTTTTTTTTTTTTTTTAATAATTCTTTGACTTCACCTTTAATTTAGGTGTAGCACGGTTGGTGCCCCTCTCAAGAAGCTTAGAGGACATTTTAGTGCTGTTTTTTGCCTTCCTAGCCCCATGAGTGTTTTTTTAAAAAAATCCGATCAGCTTCTGCTTTCTCTGCTAGAATCATCAGTCATCTTGGGGGAAAAGCAGCCCTGTTAGCTCTCGTTGAAATGCTGGTGTACGGTTTGTTGACACTGATCTTTCGGTCAGCTAAAAGTTCTTTTTCATGTGAGTTGTTAAGCTAGGTTTGTTGTCCAACCTATTGCCAATTTTGCCATAATTACAAATTGCTCTTTTAAAATGAAATGCTGGCTTTATTCAAACTTTTATTTCACTTTATCTTCTTTTAGTCATCATCTGTATATGTGCTAGTCTTTCATTCCAGAGTCCAGCTTTGATTTTAGCTATATATTTTAAGCCATGTGTCATCTTTTTCCTTGCCTTTAAATGTATTTTGTTGTTTTGCTTTTACCAATTGCAACTTTAAAAAAGTGATCGAGATTGGGGGGCCAGGAGGGGAGTTGAAGTTGGAAATGTAGAAGTTTGGGGTAGGTAGAGGGCCATCTCATTGATCTCAATGATTCTAAAGATCGGCTTTGTGGGTTTGTTTGACTTAGATGAAAGTGAAGAGGATGAAGATGATTTGTTGCAACGGACTGGCAATTTCATATCCACATCAACTTCTCTTCCAAGAGGAATCTTGAAGGTGAGAGTCAGTGAAGTTGGGGGCTATCCAGCTACTTACCTCTGAAATCCAGTCTCCTCAGTTATAGACATATGGATTCCTATTATCTGTGGGATTAAATGTGTTTGCTGTCCTTCTGCCTTGGTAAATATTTATGTTAGGTGTTTTTCCTTTTGCTGAAATGTTTAAGAGATGTTAAACTATGTACCCAGTAATTCTAGGAATCCTGTTTAATTTCTCCTTTTGAATTTCTGTTCATTTCTGTTGGCACTAGCCTAGGCTACACCTACTGTCGTCTCACCTGGCATACTATACTGCAGTAGCTTCGTGACTGGTCTCTCTGCTTCCACCCTACCTCTTCCTGAACCATTCTTCATATAGTAGCCAGGGGGATCTTTTGAAAATAAAACATCAGGCTACGTCACTTTTCATTGCTTTTTGAAAACTTCTGAATACCTTATGATAGCTTATACTGCCCTTCATGATTTGGCTTCAGCCTGCATCCTCAGTCTCATCTCACATCTCTTTACCCTTATTCCCTACTTGAGCCACGCAGGTCTTTTTCTGTTTCTTGAACATGTGGGTTCTCTCTTGGAAGGTCCTCTGAGCTTTTGTGCTTGTTCTTCCTTCTGTCTGACTGCTCTTCAAGTACTGCTAATGGCTAGCTCATTCTTACCTCTCTGCTCAAATGGCAACTTAGAAAGTGGCCTACATCAGTTACCTTCTAACTAATCACATAAGGTGTAGGGTAGGCACCTTAAAGCGGCCTACATTAGTTACCTTCTAACTTATCACTGTGTCTAGCTTGTTCATTGTCATAACCAAGTTCCTACCCACCACAATGCTTTAATTAAATATTAGCCAAATTAACAGGTTTCTCTGTGACAGATATTTTTCCCTGTTATACAATGGTGTGTGTGTGTTTTGAATGGGGCAGGGGGACCTATTATGGTAAATTATGCGGGCAATTCATTTAGCTCCTCATAGGGTGAATTCACCTCTACTGAAAATGCAGTTCCCATAAAAGTTTAACTTCAGTGGTTATAAACAAAACATACATATAATATTCACTTTGTTTTTCATTGAATTTTTGTTTTTTTTGAAAAACAAAAGAAATAACCAAAAATAGTCCAAGTAATGCATGAGGTCACCATTATTTAAACTAGTACCATGTACCCTGAGGAGAAGATAAGCAGTCTGTGCCAACCATAGAACTGTGGGCACTACTACATAGTGCTTCTTGTATTTGTGCTATGAATGCAAAGATGCCAAAGTAGGCATTTTAAGTAAAATTGCTCCAGAAGTGAAACTCTCCTAACCTAAATGGATGTAGATGACTATATGTGTAGTAGTGCCCCAAGAAGGCTTAATAAATTTAGACTTCTAGATTTATTTAGGAAAGGACCTTAATGATTTAATAACCCCTTCATTTGAAAGATGGTAAAAATGATTCTTGTATAGTAAAGTGACTTGCTAGTTGGTGCCAGAGCTGTGTTCTCTAGACTTCTAGATTTATTTAGGAAAGGACCTTAATGATTTAATAACCCCTTCATTTGAAAGACGGTAAAAATGGATTCTTGTATAGTAAAGTGACTTGCTAGTTGGTGCCAGAGCTGTGTTCTTTTAGTTACTATTCCAATGCACTTTCTTCTGCATTATAAACTATAATGCTTTTTCTTCATGCTGTAAAGAAAATGATGTTAACCCATCTGAACTGATAAAATTCCAGCTTTCTTTTTTCATAGATGAAGAACTGCCAGCATGCTAATGCTGAACGTCCTACTAGCGCTCGGATCTCGTCTGTGCAGTTCCATCCTTGTGCACAGGTTGTGATGGTCGCTGGATTAGATAATGCTGTATCACTATTTCAGGTATGCATTTCTGAACGAAAACTTGTGGTGAAAGTGTTTACTTCGAGGATACAGGGCCCATGGAAAAAAAAACCAAAGAAACTTTTTGTTCTTCCTTATAGGTCGATGGAAAAACAAATCCTAAAATCCAGAGCATCTATTTGGAAAAGTTTCCAATCTTTAAAGCTTGTTTTAGTGCTAATGGAGAAGAGGTTTTAGCTACGAGTACCCACAGCAAGGTTCTTTATGTCTATGATATGCTAGCTGGAAAGTTAATTCCTGTGCATCAAGTGAGAGGTAAGGTTTCTATTGAACATGCAGCCAAATATCTCCCCCCCAACCTGAGTTCATTTAACAGTGTTTATAACCACTTTTTCACCCCATAAGATTTGTAAAATTGAGAGTTTCTTTATTTAAGGTATTTGGAAAATGTCATTTTGTTGTTGAGATAATATGTTTGAATGAAACCAGTTAACTGACTTTTTATTGAGCACTTATGGAAACATCATAATTTGGAAATATGCATACCTTAGACCGGAAAAGCAGTTGCAAATACTTGGCTGTAAAGTTAGCAATTGATACAGCAGAAAAGGCATGATCCAGGGAGTTAGAAGACCCAGTTCCACTTCGTTGGCCACATTGTTCCACCACTCTGATTGTCAGGAAATTTGGATACCCTCTAGTTCTAGTGTTGTTATAATTTGATTTATACTTAAAGGAAATAAAGCACTGCTTTTGGAGGTACTTATATATTTTAAAGGTTGAACTACTTAGAAAATAAACTTTTTTTAATCAGGTGAAAATTTACCTACCTCTACCTTACCTGTTCTTCCCCTATATTCCTCTACCTCCATTACCACAAAATACAGTTACACCTTCACAAATCCTTTGAGAAGCAAAGCCCTTGTAGTGAGGTAAGCTGGGTTAATGTGATAAATCTTGGGAGGTAGTGTTGGCATATGTCACAGCTCCCTGGCCGTCTCCTTATTAAAGCACATATGTGTGTGGTTGTAAAGGACAAGAGTAGGTCTGTACAGCCATTTTTCTACTAGTAGTTGAAAGTGAATAAGGCCAATTTTAGAAGGATTATATGATGTTTGTTTTCAGTGTTTCCAGTCTTCTCTCTTCTGTGTTCCCTGATACCTTTAATGATCCTTTCCAAGTAGGTTCTTGGTTTATCTAATCACGTGTTAAACCAGGGCTTCTCAGAAGTTAATGTGTGTATGAATCACCTAATTCTGTATGATTCTGCATTTCTAACAAACCCTCAGGTGATGCTGATGCTGCTGATCCATGGACATCACTTTGTTGAAAAGCTTTAAACAATCTCCTCATATTGAAATCGAAAACAATATGTAGTAGTTATTATTTTTGCATGTCATTTCACTAGTCAAAAGGAATGGACTTTGCTCCTTCCTTATCTTGCATCTTGGGTAAAAGTACAGTAGGGGTTGGCTAATATACCGTTAGCAGATCCAGGGTAGAGATCACTAGGTGTGCAGGAGTGTGTATCCAGTCACCGGCTGCTTTTGAGACACGGCATTTATCTTTCTTTCCCAATATTTCATTTCCCCTTCTCTCTGCTTAGTAAGCATAGCTTGGTAATAATGATAACAGTAATGATAAGGTCAGTATATATTTTTTTGTGGTGGTGGTATGTTACTTAGCACTGTTCTCAGTCTCTCATCATTTTAAAACCATAAATAACTCAAGAAATTAATTAAGGACATTAGACTGAGGGGAAAAATTGCTGACTAGTTAGGACATGCAAGCCTTATATGTATGCAGACACTTGGTTGTCATAAATGCTAGTTTGATAAACGAAGAATACAAAATCGATGTAAATGGTGCATCCGTTAACCTGTTAGGGTTCATGACCTGGGGTTGGTTACATGGGGTCCGTGGACTCTCACAATTCTTTGGATAGAATTCAGGGTCCTGTGAAGTCAGATGGGAAAAACATTACATCCTTATTTTTGTTAACCTCTAACTGAAATTGAGCATGTCCATCAGTTATGAATGTTTTGAGTGATCATTGTTTTGAGAAGGGCACCACATTCTTCACCAGACTGCTGAAGGGCCCATGGCACAAAAAGGTTAAGAAACACAGATAATTAGGTAGAACTCCAGAAGCAGTTTCTGTTCATCACTGAGAAGGACAACTCTTCAGAGAGATGTCTTGTTCTCAGTAAATAAGTAAAAGGGATTTGGCCATTTGGGAATCACATTTGTTGGTCAGGCAGCAATTTTGATTTTAAGCATTATGGCATAGTAATCTCCAAGCCTCAGTTTTCTCTTTCTGTGAACTCAGAGGGTCATAGACATTAAAAGAGATTTTTTTTTTTAAAGTTCCTAACTTAGCACCTACCATATGGTAAATGCTCAATTAATGGCAACCACGGCCATTGTTAAGAACAGCGTGTAATCTGTCTGATCACAGTTGGTCAGTCCACTTGATCCTAGTTAAATTGCTCTGTCCTAATTTTATTGGCTCTATCCTAATTAAATTGGCCATTTCTTTTTTTTTTTTTTACCAGTTGCTCATGCCTTGACCTAAAAAAAATCTCATTTACAAATCTATAAAAAGATTTATATCTGACATATTTAAAGCATTGTAATTTCTTTCCCTAGGTCATATTATAAATTTTATCTGGCTCCTATTTTGAAAGGTCCAGCATTTGTGAAGAACAACTGTGATACTGATACTGGCATTTATTGTTACTGTTTTTTAATATGTCTAAAAGCAAAATGCTATATACTTACAACTAGTATAAAATAATGTAAGCTTTGGGTGAAAATACAGTTATTTTTCTTATTTTTCTAACTAATTGCTAAAGCTGTCTGTCCTTATTTGTCAGAAGTCTAGTATTTCCTTTTTGAAGATAGCTCCCTCTCTTGAATTGGCCAAAAAGGCATTTGTGAAGAACAACTGTGATACTGATACTGGCATTTATTGTTACTGTTTTTTAATATGGCTAAAAGCAAAATGCTATATACTTAACAACTAGTATAAAATAATGTAAGCTTTGGGTGAAAATACAGTTATTTTTCTTATTTTTCTAACTAATTGCTAAAGCTATCTGTCCTTATTTGTCAGAAGTCTAGTATTTCCTTTTTGAAGATAGCTCCCTCTCTTGAATTGGCCAAAAATAGCAGGCTTGCGAAGGCCAAAAGAGTAAGGTTTTCCAGCCACCTGCAGGCAGAGAGCAGTGCACTGTGTAACGAGTCCTCTGGCACCGTACCTCTGTGGCTGCCACATTGGGTCTGTATTCACACTGGTCCTGCACAGTGTGATGGGACTTTGTTCACTGTTGCTCTCCTGGTGCCTGTGTGGGCTGTATCCCTCCAGGGCTGCAGTGGGGCCCCATGGTGGGTGCCAAGGTGAACACTCGTTAGTTCACCCTTGCATTCCCACTGCCCGATACTGTGCTGTTAGGTTTAGGTCTGGAGGGGTTTCCAGCTGTAGCTTCACACTCTGCTGGAACTGGTCTCTGTTCCCTGTCTCATCAAGTAATAATATTTTTCTTATGTTTGGAACTGTTTCTATGAATATAAGGTTTATCCAAAATTTAGGATTAAAATTACCCTCAATAGGAATTGTGAAGTACCCTGCATAGTGAAGGAGACTGGTCATCAGAAGTAACTCCACTGATTGGAAATATGTGTCCTAATTGATACCAGGAACATGGGTCTAATCAAGAGATCTAGATTGTACCCTCTGGGAGTCAGGACTAGAGTGGGATGTCCAGTTTGTAGTAATGTGAACCATCTCAGCAAAGACTTACCAGGATAGAGATGGTCTGTAGGAGCCCTAACCAGCATTTTCCTGTAAGGGAACAAGGTCACTTCATCAGATTTTGCTAAATACTTTTTCTCTAATTAATATTTTAACTTGGCAACTTAATTTTAAAAAATATTTATTTATTTTTCTTAACTAGACAGTATATTTACATATAGTATGTTTACATGGGTGGGTAGTGAAATGTCCCTTCTGCTCTATCTCCTTGGCCGCCTACTTCCCTTCCCTGCAGGTAGCCAGTTGTACCCATTCTTATGTATCCTAATAGGTAACTTTTTAATGGGTAACTTGCTCTCTAAGCATCCTGATATCAGAAGGAGTCACCTGCATAGTCAGTATGAACCTTTCATGCGTGGAAGAAGGGACATGTCCCTTTGTAAGTAAAGAAATTGACTCTGGTTGATATACCTAGCTCATATTACTTGGTTACATAAGTGTCATCCTGAGAAGCTGATCAACTCTTGAATACACTAACATGTTGTGAATTTTTTTAGACCTACAAAGTTAAAAATTAGACTCGTATTCATCATGGGATGCTTAGTAGGTGGCCTGCAACTAGTTTATATATGTTGTTGTGTTTTTGTCTGTCTCTAATGGCAGTGTATTTCCCTTCTGGTAGTGAACTTTGTGGCAAAGAAGTATCCTTTATCCTTTTAGTTAATTAGAAGTATTACTGCTTATGTTTGGAAAATCAGTTAATAAGTTTCCTCCTTGGTGAGCTGAATCTCTGGCCTGCAATTAAAGCAGTGAATGTTAATCAAGACAAAGAAGAGAAGTTTGCTAAGCACTTTGTAGTGACCTTATGTTTGGGTCATACTCAGTGGTGCATGACTTATTTAGAATCTGAGCCTAGGTTTTGTTTAATTTGAGGCACTTAGATAAAGAGGTAAGAAACTCTGAATTGTCAGTAGAAGATAGCTTTATTGAAAACCAAATTAAATCTTGTTTATTCGATTCATCTTCTTTCATAGGTTTGAAAGAGAAGATAGTGAGGAGCTTTGAAGTCTCTCCAGATGGGTCCTTCTTGCTCATAAATGGTGTTGCTGGTTATGTTCATTTGCTGTCAGTGAAGGTGAGACATTAATTGTTGCTTGTTCTTCTCTGATAAGGCATTAGTGTAGGGGTTTTCTTGAACCTTAACCCATGTGTCCTTAAATCTGCATCTCAAGCAGAGGAACACAAGTGGGACTTTGGGGGAAGTTGTGGGCAGTTGGGGGAGAGCTTTTGAGTTTAGGGAAAAACAAAGTGGAGTAGATGATAGAAAACAGAACTAGATTGTTTTTATTCTACACAGTGTGATTCTTCCATACACCTCCTAATAATTGGATAAGTAACGTTTACTCTTTTAGACCAAAGAACTGCTTGGCAGCATGAAAATTAATGGAATGGTTGCAGCGTCCACATTCTCTTCAGATAGCAAGAAAATATACACCTCTTCAGGTAAGCTAACGATATGAGAGAAGCTTTGGATGTTCTTACATTTCAAGTGTAATCAAAAACTGTGTTTAATCTTAAACTTTTCTTTTTTAGTTAGAAAATCAGGTTTATTTTTAGAATTCATTTCTGTTGCCATTTGCCTTCTCATTTACTAGCTAGTGACAGTGAAGGGCTATTCAGTTGTCATGCTGTGTTAACATAGTGACAGTGAAGGGCTACTCAGTTGTCATGCTGTGTTAACATGGTAGGGCAAAGAATGGGAAGAAAATGCTTATTTAAAAGATGATTCATTTTAAGGGTTTCTTACTTTCCTTTTGCAAGTTATTTAGAATTGTCACCCCTTTTCTTTTAGCAGTGCCCTCTTGACTTGGATAGCATGTTGGGTTCTCTTCCTTGTTGACTTGGCGTCACCCCTTTTCTTTTAGCAGTGCCCTCTTGACTTGGATAGCATGTTGGGTTCTCTTCCTTTCATTTCTCTGACATTTCTGTAGCTTTGTTGACTGAGTCTTTATCATCCCTTAGAGTCTCTGACCTTTCATTTTCCTGCGTTTCTTTCTACGTTCCTGACTGTCCTGTGTCTTCTTTGATTCTTACTCCTTATCCCAAGGGATCTTGGAGACCGTCTCTTGGGACAGCTACATACTGTCAGTGTGGCTCATGCTCCGTTTGGTAGTGGGAGGCATTAGAGTGGTTCTACCTTGTGTAGTATTCTCCAATTTATGCAAGGCTTGTTAGCATAATTTTCATTTTACCTCATCTAGGGGCATTTGGTAATATAGCATTAATTTTTTTGAAAAGTTTAAACTTTTTTTTAAAAGGATTAATTTTAGCATTCACTTTCATGTAATTTTTGTTCTGTTTTTTCCCTAGAGTCAAACTTCCACAAAATTGAGTTTACATTTGTATTTTTTTAATCAACTGATAAGGTCAGCAGCATCTATATTCCCTTTATTATGCTAGGTTTTGTGAGAAGTAAGGAATAAATAAATATTGGTTCAGAGTAAAATTCCTGATTCCTTGATCACGGGAGAGCCAGAATGGGGAGAAGAGGTGGAGGATTGGTCAGCAGAGGTGCTGAAATTTGGTATATGAATTGGATACAGATGTGAAATATTTTACAAATTTGGTCACGACTGTGGAAGTCTAATTTACCATAAGAAAGGTCCTAAAAAGCAGGGAAGGAGTAATGAAAAGTTGAGCCTTGGTAAGTTAGGGGTAGTTTACATTTTGATCTCCTTCCTCCTGCTTTTCTTCTGTATGGAGTAGTTTATGTGATTGGCATCATATTGTTCATACTGCAGTGTTTTATATAAGGAGTATTTTGTGATAAAAAGGAGAGTTGAATAAAGAATTTACCTTTTATCTTTTCAACTTTACCAGTTCTATCTTTTTGTTTCTTCGTGGATTCATTGTTGCCTCTTTTGCCCTAAGTCTTCATCTACTCATGACCATTTAATGCACTTGCTGTCTAGGTGATCTTCCTGCCCTTGAACCCTTCTCTTCCTGTTTTAGTCCTATTGATAGACTAATCATTAAACACTTTCCATTATTGTGACATCACAGAAAAACATGTAAGGCAAAGGTTTTTTTAGTTTGGCCCTGGTCAGTTTTCCCAAATAATGTTTTCCTACTGCTCAGCCTGCACCCTTACTCTAGCCTGGAAATTTTTATTTGTCAAGGAAATAGTTGAAACAGTGAGACTCACTGAATTCTTATTGGGAGAATAAGAGTACTTGTAGAAGGTTGAACTTTAGAGCAATGTCCACAGACAAGGAAGAGGTAAAATAGGGAGTGAGGCGCCGTCTTTGAGATGGTTGCAAGGTCATTACAGAAATGTGTAGTGAGTGTGGGGAAGTATCCAGTGCTAGAGAGAGGGAAAAAAGAAGGAGGACCGATTTAGGCATTTATATGGCCACATCGTGAAAATATTTGTGGTGTCTTCAGATTTAATATCCCCTTTTATCTGGCACATGTGGTTCTCCCTTCTCTAAACTATGTGTGCTTATTGTGACCTCACATTTAGCATTTCCTATTATCTAAATGACTTAGTAGTAGATAAATTGTGTCTTTTTAGTTAAATTATAAATTCCTTGTGGTATGATCAGTTCTTTCTTCACTTCCTCTCCATCATTTTCATCAACAATTTGGTATCTAAATCACCTAGCTTTGTATATTAGGCACTCTAACACTTGTAAATAATAGATGTTGGATGAGCTATGCTGGTGGATGGTAATTTATTTTTTTCAAGTTTTTGGTACAAAATTTATCTTAGTAGAGTGTTGAAGCTTTTCCTAAAAGCTTAATTAAAACTGAGAGTTTGTGATTTTTTTTTTTTACTCTAAATGTAAAGATATTGTATATTAAAGACTAATGCAGTTTTCTACATAGGTGAATGTATATAAGAAATATTTTTAGTGGTTTTTCTAGAAGTAGGGGGATTATAATAGATCTTTATGTTTGTAGTCCCTTGTACTATTAAAGAGGGACTCAGAATAGTCAGTTTATTTACCTTTCAAGTTTAAAGCAAAATTAACCAAACCCTTTCTTGGCTCTTTCATTCAGGGGATGGGGAAGTTTATGTTTGGGATGTGAACTCTAGGAAGTGCCTTAACAGATTTGTCGATGAAGGCAGTTTATATGGATTAAGCATTGCCACATCTAGGAATGGACAGTATGTGGCCTGTGGGTAAGTAGAGAGATCTTATGACCTTAATCACATTGTGCTAATGAGAAAATATTAAGGAATTGAATACAGTAGATGGTACATGAGTAGTTCTGTTTACAGACTACTCAGTAATAAGTAATTTATAAACCCAGGTGAGCCTTTTGCGTTTTATTGACTTTAATGCAGTGTTTAATAATAATATTAATGACAATTTATCAGCTCTTTAGCAAAGAAGATATTGGACTTCATTATATCATTGTATTTTTTCCTGTATTTGAAATATCTGTTTGGTCACATCAGGTTTTTCTGTTACTATTTTTAGCTTCTTGTCATTGATAAGGAGGTAGAATTAGTAAACTTTGGGTTTAAGTCTTAAAGGTACTTAAAGCATTTTTTCCTTCATTTAGCTCGGTGGTATAAACCAAAAACATATTCTTTGGAAATGCCATGTGTTAGTATTGTAGAAACTTTAAAAATACTGTCTAAAGCACATGTAATTCTGTTATTACTGGAGAAAATGGTTATTACACTGGGGAAAAGATGGTTCTGTTCTCCTACTTGATGCTAAATACACAGGATGGGAGCAAGAGATTTTGGATACTTACCAGTAATTCTAAGCTGTCTTACCAACTCACTCATTAGCACCTGTAATTCTTTAACTTCAAGAAATAGGTTTTATGACTTTCTTAGACCATACACAATTGAGTCGTAAGTAGATTTCAGTCAAATCCTCCCTGGGGTGGGAAATCAAGTGGGTTTTACTGTCCAGAAACATAGCATACTCTGTACTCTTTGTTCGCTTCATTCCTTCCTTCAAGGTTAAAACTGGGGAAACTGCTTGTAAATATCCCACCAGCACTTGGAAGTTGGCCAGCCTACTTACTACCTTTGGGGCATGCAAGGAAAGGCAGGTAGAACTAGGCTGTGGAGCTTGGAGCCCAGGCTAGCCTCATGTGGATCTGTCCTGGGCAGTAGGACAGTGACAGATAACTTGGTGTTGGTGTACCCTGGTTAAGGCCACTTTCTTTTCTTTTTTACCGATAGTCACCATACTGTGTCAAACCTGTAGGGAGGGACATCTCAGCATGAGCCAAGTACTTGCTATAGTAGTTTGCACTATGGTAGGAATTCATGATTAGCAGATCTTCTGTGAACAGAGCTCCTTTAAGATGAAGACTGGTGTTTAAACTAATTATAAGTAATTTTAAGCAGAACTACTTTTGCCCCTATGGGGAGCAAGAATACTGCACAAAAGTGACTGTCATTCACATTTCTGAAGTCAATGAAGTTGGTCTTTTTCTGGTCCTTGCCCCTTCTTTTTTGTGTCACTTTTTATTAATACCTTTTGAAGGGCCCAAACAAGAAAGAATCTAGTACTGGTAGTTTAAACTCATTTAATTTTAATTGCCCTTCAGCGTAACTGAACTCTGATGTGCTTGGCCAAAGGCTATTTAAGTGTGTAGAATCTTAAAGTTATTCTTAAGGAATCTTAAGCAAAGTTTTAAGCCTCTAGAAAGGGAAGGAAGGGGTGCAAGGTCACTGCAGTAATAGGCAGACATCAGGTAAACAGGTAATCACTAAGGCAGTGGGAATGGGATTAGTGGAGATAGGCAGAGGACATTTCTGACATTTGATAACTGCTTAGAAAATGGGGAGTGGGAGAGAAGCAGCTGAGCACCCAGAAGAGAGGAATTGTCATTGAACGGGGGAGGAGGAGGACTTGGAGGTGTGTTGGAAGACAGCATTCATGTGGCCATGCCCACATGCAGTTAGAAGTGCAGTGTGGAATTAGACCTAAAGACACTGATTTGGACATGACGGGTGATGGGTGTCCATGGGAGTAAATGAAATGAGTGAGACACTGGAGGTAGATTGAAAATAGAGCCCTGGGGGCAAGAGGCAGTGGAGACCATGAAGGCCAGTGAGGATGAGAGAAGAATCAGTAGAGCTCAGTCTTAGACAATTCAGCAAGGGAGAGCATTTGAGTTCTGTTTTTTTTTTTTTCCTTTTTTTGTCTTTTTTCGTGTCTGGCAACGGATCGCAACCCTCAGTGTCGCGCCCGTACCGGACCAGGACCGGCAACGGGATCGCAACCCTCGGTGTTGCACCCGCACCTCGCTCAACCAGTGAGTGGGAACCGGTCTGTATGTGGGATCCGAACCCTCGGCGGGAGCTCTGCCGTGCTCTCAAGCGGCGCACTGTAGCAGTGCGCCACCGGGCCGGCCCTGAATTGTTTTTAATTTATTTAGTTAGAGGTTTCTGTAGGGCATCTGTGGCTATGGTGAATATGGTTGTGTCTTAAACTCTTAATTTAGGAGGAGTGGACTTCTTCAGGCCACCATCACATGGCAATGAAGGAGAAGAAAACAGCTATATATGAGGCCACACAGGCAGGAATAGAGTTTAGGTATCAGAAGGATTCATGTGGGCCTAGGGACAGGACTGTTGCTGAGTCCCTCAGCAGCAGTTTATGTGCCGCTGTTACAGTATTACAGCTTCTCTCCTTGACTTTTTGCATTGCTCTCGCCCTTATCAGTTTGCCTCATACTCAAGTATTTCTCTAAGTGTGGCACTTAAACCCTCTGCAGCATCAGAATACTCAAAGTAGTTGCTAAAAACCAAGATTCCTGGGCTCTATTCTAGCTGTGTGCCAGAACGCTGGGGTTGGAGGGTGGGCACATGAATGAAGCTCAGGAATCTACTTTTTAATACGTTAAGTGCTGCCTATGCACTATGAAGTGTGGGCACCAGTCACTTGTTCGCATTTTTTCCTCCACTTCACGTTTTTTTTTAACATTGGCACTATTGATAAATTGGACTGGATAATTCAGTTGTGGGACCTGTCCTATTCACTGTAGGATGTTTAGCAGCATCCCTGGCCTCTCCTCACTAGATGCTAGTAGCTCACCTTCACTTCCTCAATTCCCAGTTGTGACAATCAAAATGTCAGATGTCCCCTGGGGGGGTGTGTGTGCAAAATTGCCCCTGGTTAATAATCACTGTTCTACTTTATAGTTCCTTCTTGCTCAGAGTATTAATTTATCTGTGGCCCTTATGTGCTCACTCTAGATGTGTTTTCAGCTTGTACTCCCACCACCACCATCAGTACCATAGTTCCTAGTCCCAGTTCTTAAGAGAGATATTGATCTGCCTAATGGCTATCATTCCTGTTTGCAAAGAACTTGTATACCAGGCAGGACACTCCATGGTTGCTGATTGCTTAGTGGATTGACTGCCCTTGATTCAGGAGCTCACTTCTAGTTCAGTCAGCTGTGGTCGGGTGGGAAGATAACAGTCACGTCATTCTTTAGGTAGGAGTTCAGGTTTATTTCTAGCTTATTTCTCTCGTTGTTCCTGCTCTTCTTCTCACCTATGATATCCTTTTTTTCCCACCTAATGTTTGCCTTCCCCAGCTTGAGTTCTAGCTCTTCCACAAAGCTCATCTGGAGCAACTTCATCTCATACCATTTCCCTTCTTGAGGTTCCAGGTCTTAGATAGAACTTAGAGTTGTATTATGTTCTCTTGTATCTCGCTATTTTATGCAGGTATATTTTTTCTGATATTCTGTATTCCTGTGACACTTTACACACTGCTGGACATATGGATATCATTCAACAAATATTTGTTCACCAGTTATAGCAGCATGTTAGAATCAGGTATATTCAACTGTAAGAGTAAGTTTCCATATATAAAAATAATTGTGCCATTTTGTTACACAAATTTAAGCAATGGTCAAATAAGAATAGGCGTTATTTAAGGAGCTGCTGATGTTCTTGATGGTAAGATTTGATCTAAAATTGATATTTAGAAGAGTTGTATGGATTATAATTTATCATTCTTAGTTAAGATGGATTTAGGCATAAATCAGTTTTCAGCAAGAACAGATTTAGTATAAAATAAGCACAAGGAGTAGGTATTTTGATCCCAGTCAAAAATTATATATAAGGAAAAGATGAAATTTACCTTACTCAGTTCAGGCTGCTGTAACAAAGTACCGTAGACTGGGTGGCTAATAAAAACAAATTTATTTCTCATAGTTCTGGATGATGGAAATCTGAGATCAGGGTGCCAGCATGGTTGGGTTCTGGTTAGGGCCCTCTTCTGGGTTGCAGATGCATGATTTCTCGCTTTACTCTCTATGGTGGAAAGCGAGTGAATGAGTTCTTTGGGGTCTCTTTTATAGGGGCACTCATCCCATTCATGAGGCTTCATGCTCATGACCGAATCACCTCCCAAAGCCTCCCCTCCTAATTTTATTATATTGGTAGTTAGAATTTCAACATAAGAATTTTGGGGGGACACAAACATTCAGTTCATAACAAAATTCTATAAACCGAGGATGTATATGTTCCTTGTGAGTGGTTGGTATAGACTAAGCAAGATTAGCTCTAATTAAATTACTTGATTCAAATGAGAAAATGTGTATGTAAGTAGTTGGAAGACTTTACAGAATTAAATAATTCTAACGTATCGTTTGTGTGTTTGCTACAGTGTCAAGCTATAGGGTCTTTCACATGAAAGTTGTGCCTGGCTCATTGACATCAAGCAACAAGTAGTAAGTGAATAAATGAGGATGTTTGAGTGGTAGGAAAGAGTACACTTAGTGGAATCTCTGTTTGTCACTTGTGAGACTGAGGCTGAATTTATTGCATCTTTCAGGTTTATGTTGTAATTACTAATCAAGTTTGTGCTATGGTCTGAGTGTGTCCCCCCAAATTCCTGTGTTGAAACCTAATTGCCAACATGATGGTATTAAGAGGTGGACCTTTAAGAGGTGGTTAAGTCATGAGGGCTCTGTGATTAAGTCATGAGGATGCTTTTAGGGGGTGATTAAGTCATGATGAGATGAGGGCCTTATAAAAGGCTTGAAATAGTGGGTTTGGTCCCTTCTGCCATGTGAGTTCACAGTGTTTGTCCCCTTGGGAGGGTATAGCAGCAAGGCTCGTCTTCGAAGCAGAGAGCAGCCCTCACCAGACATCAAACCTGCCAGTATCTTGATCGTGGACTTTCCAGGCTCCAGAACTGTGAGGAATAAATCTCTATTGTTTATAAATTACTCAGTGTCAGGTATTTCATTATAACAACATGAAAGGACTAAGATGGTTTGAATTAAGTATCTTTGAGTTACAAGTACCTTATTCCTATACCTTACAAATGATACCCAATAACATTAGGGAGTCTGATCACTGAGATCAAAAAGTTTACTTAAAGTTTAGTACTAATGTACTAAATGATGTTCTGTTATTAGGATTTACTTTTTAAGAGTAATGGATGTAATTCATTGCTGGTAAACGTTTAAGTAAACTTGGAGTGGATGATCCCTTCCAATTTAATCCCTGATTGTAGATATTCCCAGTAAAGCAAAACTGAGGTGTACTGCTGTTGTTCCTTACTGTTTTGGAAATTCTCACAATAGAATAAAAAAAGAAAGGAGGGGGGATATAAATGGGGGAAGGACAGTTATCATTTACATATTAGAATGTTAGACTATAAACACCATGAAAGTGGCAGTCTTGGTCTCTTGTTCATTCTTGCATCCCAAGCACTTTAATAGTGTCTGCCATAGAGTTGACATGTAATAAATATTTATTGAAGGAATGAATAATGGAGATTCTATGCTTTCTTGGATTTTCTAGCTAGACCCGCAATTGAAAAGCTGCCAGAGTTAACAAGAGTGTAGCAAGACAGTACTAGAACTGATAGAATGTGTTTAGCATCTGCCTTGGGATGAACTCTCCAGCCTCTTGTCTCTTTGTAATATATAATTCCTGCAAATATCAGTTTGTGGGGTTATATCTCTATTCACTTAGGTTGTGAAGCCCTTTTACTTGTTTTTTAATCTGTTTTGTTGTCTTTTCTCTTTGCAGTTCTAATTGTGGAGTGGTAAACATATACAATCAAGATTCTTGTCTCCAGGAAACAAACCCAAAGCCAATAAAAGCTATAATGAACTTGGTTACAGGTGTTACTTCTCTGACCTTCAATCCAACTACGGAAATCTTAGCAATTGCTTCGCAGCAAATGAAAGAAGCAGTCAGATTGGTAATATTTCTTTACTCTTTCCTTTTATCATTGATGATTTTAAAATTTAAGTTGGAAACATGTAAAGGTAGGAAAGGAGAGTGTTGGATTATTTAAAAGAGTGGCTTCTATTGATGTTGAAATTATTAGTATTGTAGCTTGTGAGTATGGTTGTTGAAATGACGCACAATGGCCACCACGCTTGTATTATGTCAGTTCTTTTGGGAGAGCTGTGTTGTCCATTCTCAGCACTTCTCAAGTGGAGGTCCTTGTTTTCAGAGGTTTCTTTCAGCATACATATTAAGGAATATATTTAAGGCAAACACTTTATTCCTCTATAATTTTTTTCCTTATCTACCTTTTTTAAGGCCTGTTGTTTTAATAGGGTAGAGGCAAATTGTGTAAAAGTACTGCAATTTAAATAGGTAATACCTGTGAATATACCTCTGTATCAGGAGTCCCCAGGACCACTCCCAGGTGTGGTTTACTAGAAAGACTCACAAGACTCTACATGTAATCATACTGATGGCTAAGATTTATTATACAGAAGGATACCAAGCAAGGTCAGCAAAGGGAAAACGCGCATTGGCAGAAGTCTGGAGGGAACCAGGTGCCAGCTTCTAGAATCTTCTCCCAATGGAGTCACACAGGACACATTTATTCCTCCAGGAATGAGTTGTAATAACATGGGTTAAGTGTTTTCTACCTGGGATGCTCATTAGAGACTCAGTGCAGGGTTTTTATTGGGGGTTCATGAAGGTACCCTTTGCCTAACATGTACCAAAATTCTAGACTCCCAGAAGTAGAGCCAGGTATTCAGCATAAACCACGTTGTTTATACAAATAGTATAGGCACATTGAGCCACCCTATCATTTAGGGAAAGGGTATTACCAGTGTAAGGAAGTGTTTACTACTTAAGTACCCAGATAGCATCCAAGGGCCATCCTTGTAAGCAGGCCTTTATCAGCACCAGGCTCTAATCAAGTGAGCTAACTGGCCATCCCAAGCAGGCCTTTCTAAAGATAGCAACCTCAGGCCAATGTTAACTCTTTTGTGCCCAACCTCAGAGCTCAGTTTATTTTTTATTAAAAAAAATTTTTTTTTTCCTTTTTGTCTTTTTTCGTGACCGGTAACGGAATCGCAACCCTCGGTGTCGCGCCCGTACCGCGACCGGCAACGGGATCGCAATCCTTGGTGTTGCGCCCACACCGTGCTCAACCAGTGAGCGGACTGGTCTCTATATGGGATCCGAACCCTCGGCGGGAGCGCCGCCACTCTACCGAGTGCGCCACCGGGTGGCCCAGAGCTCAGTTTAAATGTCACCCCTGAAGTTTCCTACCCTTGAGGTGAAACCAATTTCCTTATTCGTTTAATTATTATTTGCTCTAGGCACCAGGTATGCAGATGGCTTAGAATTTTGAATAGCAGTATTGCATTGTGCTGTTGTTATGTATATTCTATCAGATTACAAGCACTTACAAAGACTGCAATTATTACCTTACTCACTCAGCATAAAGCCTTGCATATTCCATCAGCTTCGTATAATAGTGTATAGTTTACAAAGATTTACAAAGAATTCTACAAAAAAAATTTGAGCCAAATAAAAGTCCTGAAGAGGATTATTAATTTACCCAAAGTCAACAGTTCGTAAAGAGCAGAATTGTGATTCAACATCCCATTACTCTTTTCCAGCAATTCAGTGGTTTTCCACCTGAATTCTTCAGAGCCCTAGAATCTGCACAGGACCTCATATGGCAAGTAGAGCATGGAGGAAGCTAAGCTCCTACCTGTAGTGTATAGAGCAACGTCATTGTTACCTGTGGTGGTATATGTTGGGATTCTGCATAAGATTTTCTTAAGAAAGGGTTCTGCTGGAAAAAGTTTGAAAAATACAGCGTTGCATTTTATTTCCTCTCTGAATGCATCATTTGATACATGAGAAGGTTCTAATTCAAGTCAGCTTTAAAATCCCTTCTCTAATGGGAGTGGTGTACTAGTACATATTAACCTTTTATCATTTTAATGGTACTAAATTATTTTAGAAAACCGTGGTATCTGTCTCCTGTTGACATAATATATTCTGCAAGACACATAGTAGTTAGTTCTGCCTAGTTTGCTTCAGTGATCATGACAGCATTTATGTTTGTGGCAAAATCGCACAAGGAATTCATTAGTAACAGCCAAATCACATTTTTTATATGGTAGTCAACCATAATATCTAATGGAAGGAAGCCAGGCATAGCAGCTTCAGAATGCCTTGGTGAAACAGTGTTAGTATCATTAAACGCAATTGCTTATAATGACCCGAACAGTTTTGTTATCCCAATACAAAGCAGTGAAGATAAATCTAAGCCATTACACCAGTAGGAGACCCAGAAGTCACATGATTATTACATCTATAATTTTGGATGAAGTAGAAAGTCTGGAATTTCTTATCCATTAAATCAAGGATGAGTGAGCTTTTACTTGCTAGATTTTGATGTGTGGACCCTTAACTGTCATGACAGAAATAGTGTTAGAGATAAGGGATCTTTCCGAATTAGAGAAGTCGGATCTTTATGAGGCTTTTAATTAATAGTTCAATTACAGCTTTTTTTTTTTTTTTTTTCATTACTGTTCAGTATGAGGATCCAAACCATTGACCATGGTGTTATAACACCTGCTGTAACCAACTGAGCTAACTGGCCAGCCCCCAATTATAGCTTTTAATACAGGACCATAAAGAGAGGTCAGAGCACAGCCTAGTTCTCTGCTAAGGGGGGATCACTGGTCTGAGGGAAAGGCCACTAATGTAGAGAGAGATTACGCTGGGGAACTTTGCAGACAGATGCTACTGAGTCTCTTGGGAGGACATTGTAACATCCATCCCCATATTCCATGTCGGTGGAGGAGATAACATTTAAAAATGAAAGCAAGTGAGCCAAGATGCCGGGTACCGTTCAAGCTTTATTAAAGAAAGAAATCTGCTGGGCTGTGCTCATAGTGGCACAGGGCCCAGGGCTGCCCTGAAAATGGTGGACAGCCCCAACAATGGGTTCGCGAGAGTTTATATTAGCTTTTGGGCACGAAATGTACGGGGTGGAGAGACCATTAGGTTGATGTAACTGGGTGGAGAACTGCAGTGATGCAGAAGCCGGAAACTTGTTTCTAAGTCAGGAGGCTTCTTGTAAAGGGAAGGGGGAGGGGAGGGGAGGAGGTGGGTGGCGCCAGTTTGTACTTGGGCTTGTCTAAAGTGGTGCTGGTTATGTTGCAGATCTATTAAAAAATAGGGCCGAGCCCGTGGCGCACTCGGGAGAGTGCGGGTGCTCCCGCTGCAGGTTCGGATCCTATATAGGGATAACCGGTGCGCTCACAGTGCTCACTGGCTGAGCGCGGTGTGGCCGGTCTCAAAAAAAAAAAAAAATAAGTTGTTGATAAATTGGCATTTATCTTGCATCAGAAGGAGCACTCTGGCCCTTTGTGTGAGTGCATGGCCACACATACTATACTGTGTATGGTAGTGTAGGTTATTTGTTGCATGAGGGCACCATGTTTAGGAGGGCACCATTTACATCAAAGACTTTGTAAATGTGTGTATTTACCACAGTATTTGTGGTGTTTTGTTCTGTTTATTTAGCTACAAAAGTATGGAACTACCTTCTGGTAAAAGTGGGCTTTGAAGAATTGCCGTTGTGTCTTGTGCTCCAAGTTTTGCCCTTATTTGTGATTAGCAATCGATTTAATTATAAAGTTACATGAATCCAAATTATGTGACCTTTTTTTTTTACAACTTAGCTTGTAAATAAAAAGGTGGTTTAATTTAATTATCCTTAGGAAGTATTCACATAGAAAGGTTAGTTCTGGAAGAGTCAGAAAACCAGCTCCCCAGACTTGAGTCCTGTCAGGAAAGTTAATGAGCAAATATTTGAGGCACAGTTTAAGAGTATCGAGTGATAAAATAGGATGGGAACAAAAGTCAGGGGTGGGACAAATGTTTTGCTCCCCTGATGCTTTGGGTCACTGGTTCATAGTAGTTGGTGCATGTTTGGAGGATGCAGACTTAAAATAACCTAAGCAAAACAAATGAAGAAGCCAAGGCACTTATCAAAAGATTCGTATAATTTCGGCATTGCTAAGCTAAGTGTAAATACATTATGCATATCTGTATTGTGGCTTCTCTTCGTAAAACAGGAATCTGTTTTATTAAGTGCCTTTAAAAAATATTTACCTAAAGTAATTTCTCAAGAAATCTGTATAGACAGTGGTGTTTAAGAACTTTAAAAGTTAAGATCAAATCAGGGTTACTGCCAACTTCTTAGCTTTAATAGGTCAAGAACACTTCTCATTAGCACTAATGCGTTAGCATTGATGTCATGCTGCGCTGGCAGAATCTGCCTTCTGGCAGAGTTGAAAATGACTTAGAGATTCACTGTAAGCTTTACTCTCTTGACAAAATGGCCAGTAGGTATACATCAGAGGAAGCTGGGCCTGATAAGTGACTGACCGAAAGCTGATAGATGTATCAGTGGGTTTTACCTAGTACTTGTTTTTGAAAATCACCTTGATTGGATATTGTACAGTTTCATCTAGAAGTGTGGAGGATGACAGACTGCTAAGATAAATAGCTGAATGACAACTGTGTATTTGAACATGAAGGTGCTGTATTTCTTAGAAGAGCAAGAGAACTTTTGAAAGTGAGATTTGTTACCATCATAGTCTATTTAAGGCACCTGTTTCTATGCCTGGGTTTTATTCATCCACAGATTGTGTGAGGGCTTGTCGATCCTGTCTTGGACTTGGGCCCATTTTCCCCAGAAGTAGAGTCTGGAGAAAAGGACTGTGTCCTTCCTCAGGCTTAGGCTTGGCTTTGAGTGAGTTTTTGGCTCTAAGTCAGAACAGTTTCACTTGATGAATCAGGTTTTCATGATTCAGCTCTCTTTGAGGAAAGACTGCAAAAGACAAAGAGTTTATCACGTAGATGAAAAATTAAAGTGTAAGAAGGAAATTTTATGATATTGGAAGACATGGCATGACTTTGCCTCGGCTTCAGTTATGTAAATATCAGACTCTTCATAATGTTTAAAATATTTGTTCCCCGTGATCAGAGTTTAGTCTTTACTGTGGTCCTTAAGCTAGAGCAGTAATATGAACTACCATTGAGTTTGCATTTAGTTTATTAACTCATTTATTCGTTCAACATACATTTGAATCTCCCAGGTATCTGGCTAGATGCTGCATTAAAGCTTTCTCCCCTTCCCTTTCAGTTAATAGTGCATTAAAGGTCAAATTTTAATTTTGGAACATTTTGCTATATTAAGAGAACTGTACTTTCATGTGTGCTACAATCAAAATGAATTTTTGCTCCAGAAAAAAAAAAATGGACTGAAGATTAAAATTTAAGGCAGATGAGTTCCCAGTTATTGCAGTTGAAAGCTTTTTATTATCTCCTGCAGGTTCATCTTCCTTCTTGTACAGTGTTTTCAAACTTCCCAGTCATTAAAAAGAATATTTCTCATGTTCATACAATGGATTTTTCTCCCAGAAGTGGATACTTTGCGTTGGGGAATGAGAAGGGCAAGGCTCTGATGTATAGGTAGGTATTATTTATGCTTAAAAATCTGTGATACCTAGAAACTTCTTTTGAAAATGTGACAAGATACTATGTATACCTAGGCTACAATTCTGCACTTATACACAATTTATTAATTCTGCAATTCAGCTTGACTCTCATCTTTATTAGCTAACTTTGTGTATTTTTCTACCATAAAATGTCACTAACAGAAAAGTTCACCTGGGGAATATATATATGGTTTTTTTTTTTTTTTTTTTTTTTTTT